GGCAGCAGATAGGCAAAAATTAAGACGCAAGCAAAGGAGGCATGCCATACCACGGGTGATAGGAAAGGTATCGACCGGTAGCATAATTAGACTCTGTGCAATTAAATGTCCGAATTGTTACCGTACGTTTACAAGGAGTATGCAACGATGCACGTGTTCACAGGTGCCCGTACATATACTGGAGTAAGCAACAAGACATGACGCTGGAGGCTGAGACGGTGGGAAGGCAGGACACGGGGGAGAGGACGACGAGAGGAGAGGGTGGTGACGAGGAGGGGTAGAAGAGGAGAGTGGGAGGACGGATGAATGGGAAGGAGGGTGCGGAGAGGGAGGGGAGGGCAGAGGAATGGGGAGGAGAGGTGGAGAGAGAGGAGTGATCGAAAGGAGAGGGGGAGGAGAGGTGTGGAGGAGCACGAGAGAGAGAGGAAGGTCCGAAGGGCGAGGAGGTGTGAAGTGGAGAGGATTGAGAGGGAGGGCGGATATAGACTGCGGATGGTGTGGGGGGCAGGGTCGGAGGGCGAGGGTTTTGAAGGGGAAGGGAAGGAGGGGTGAATGGGTTTTGAGAGGGAGGGTGGATGAAGGGAAGGAGGATTGGAGAGGGAGGAGGGAGGGGGAAAACGAAAGAAGTGGGAGGGAGGGTACGTGTGGAAGCATCAGGGAAGGGAAGGCGTTATCTCTGGCCTAGACCTCCCTCTGACCTTCAGTCTCCAGCTGTGGCTCTCTGCCAATGATGTGGCTATTAGACTCACTCAGAGCTCGCGCATTCCCTTGGAGATTAACACTCACTGGCGAGCGCATGCGCAATAGCTGGCAAGGCGACTCTCTGCATTTCGTCTACGGTGAACAAAATAATATTATGATCCCCATCCCTCCCGAAAAATAAATCCCACAACTCCGGCGGCGTCATCACAATACACAGAGCAATGAACAGAGAAGTAGACACAATGACCTCGTATACTTCCGTTCTTCTCGAAGTTAACTGCTTTTTCCCTATTTTATAATTGAACATTAATTATAAGAAAAACGTGGCTTTATTATCTTTCATCTAATAAAATCATTCAAGATAATTATCACGTTAATAAGTTCACTTTTTAATTTATCGCTCTTACTTCGTAAGATGAGAAAGTGTTGTATGAGTAGGCGTACGCCGGAAAGCGTGGAAATTCCGACAGAAAAACTCTCATTGCCGGGCTCATATTACGAGAAAATAAATACAAATAAAATAAAATTGGTTCACGGAATTGGCCATTATGGGTAAAGAAACAATTAGTTGTGCCAACGTTTCAAAATATTTAATTTAAGCAGGGCTAGAGTATAAAAACAAATGAATAGTGCTTGAGGACAACAAACATTTCAAATAATGAATGAATTAATTAATTAACACTACACAAACAAAAACAAAAGAAATTTTCTATAACTGACGCAAATAAAACAAATATAGAAAGTACACACCTTACTAGTAATCATAAAGATAAAGTCTCATGTCATGCCACCTCACTATACTCCACATGAAGTTGCTGAATCTCGTGGGTCCATCGCGCATTAAGTGTGAATCCTAGCTCTGATGAAGAAATTAAATATTTCGAACCGTTGGGACAACTAATTGTTTTTTTATCTACAATGACCAATCTCGTGAATCAATTTTATTTTATTACTCATCAACGGTCGTGATTCTACAATTATTAAATACATGTAGTTCCTAAATATAGTAAATTACTTATTTTCACACATTAGGTTGACATAATCTACGTTCTGTGCCCCTTAATGCAGAAAAATCAATTTCCGGTAAAACGGGTTTGTCCAGTTTTCTTTCGGGTCTGTCCACGGGTATGTTCAGTCCATCTTTACACTATCTTTACAGCTAGCGCGTAAATTATTCAGACGATTTTCTCCAACATTGATATTCATGCATCAATTTCAATGTACTCGGGGTCCTTTGACTTTTACGGAAACTTTACAAGAAGCCTCGTCAGCATTTTCCAAAATTTGTTAAAAGTAGCACAATAATTTTAGATTCAGTTTTGTCGTTGGGAAATGTAAAGAACATGCATATCTTATTAGCAGGGGTCAGGTTGACCCTTGGAAGATAAATTATAGTTCTGGGTTTCTTTTTCCAAATCATGTTCTGGAATTTAATCATTAATAACTTTTACAATAGGAAATCATCTTTTATCTATACGTTTTCACGGTTAGAAATATTTTGTTCAGAAATAAGAAAAAGATGTCAGAATTTGTCACAGAAATATCAACAAATAAAAAAAGCATTAATTTGTCAGAGAAATATCAACAATTTAAAAATAATTAAACAATAATTTTCTCACAAAAAGCTAGAAATATTTTCTTTAAATTCTCTTCGTATATATCAAAGGGCGGTAATAAATTGGTGCTACAGTCGCTTCCAATAATCTCTCTTTTTCGGAAAAGATTGAAAAAATTCGACATTTCAAAACTTCAATGATGGAGATATAAATTTTTATCTTAAATATAACCTGATTTAAAAATTATCTCTTTAATAATCGTCATATATATTTTTTTGAAAACACTTGTCGGTTTCTTGGAATTTGTGTTTTATATTAATGCAATTATTAATAAACACATTTTCTCAAAGCCATTCCAAATTTTTCTTCATTTACTTTTCCACGAGTAAAAGAACTTAGGCTTAAAAGAATACGCCATTTTTGTTGAAATCTCTGATTTTTTTGAAAACTGCCAATTTATTAATAATGTGAGAAATTAGTTGTAAAATCACATTATATTTTCTCGTTCTTACCTCCTAAGAAGAGAAAGTATTATAATCGCGCGCCGGTAAACGCTAATATTTGACAGAATACTTGACGTTCTCAAATAGAGAGAATTATTTCCTTTAACATGTGTAGCCAATATCCATGTCTTGTGGGAACTTAAGACCAAAAATTTGACACACTTCACAAAAGCGGTCAGTCCGTTTTATTGAAATTCATATCTTTTCGAATTCTTCCTATACCTACAACATAGGAGATAGAGATTTTTTAAAATAAAATCCATGGTTCAAAGACAGATATTGAATCATGTTGATATATTTTTTCGAAAATAGTGCACTTTTCAAAATATAGTTAGTTTTGGAATTTTTTTTCAAAAACGGCTTTAATGTTTCATTTAATTTTTCTCTGCGTATGCACCAAAAGACAGTAAAAAGATAGCTGGTAGTCCGATGTTCGGTAGACTCTCTTTTCTACGAAAATTGCAAAAAGTTAACATTAAAAATTGCAATGTAAACGGAATATATTTTCACTTTTAACAAAATGTGTTAATTATGGCATCCGCGCACGATTATAAAGGACAGAGTTCTTTAAAAAGGAACTTTTTTTTTAAAACTAGAAGTTTTCGATTACTTTTTGTATATAATTATTGCACATTTTTAAGAGCATATTTTCTCAAAAGATGCAATAATTTGGCGGATTAAACAAAGAACTTTATAAGACGTAGGTGTGATTTTCGTTTGTACATTCTTGAATGAATTGTTTGAATTTTTAAAAATTGTAACTGATAAAAATTGCGTAAAGGCAGTGATTTTGTAGCACTATTAGTTTTATTTTTATGTATTCTTGTCGAGATATGAAAAGTATAATAGTAATAACTTCTGGTCGTAAGATTTTTCTATCAAATACCAAACACAAACATTGTATATAATTTATTCTCTTTCCGAGTTTTTTCTTCCTCGGAATACTAGAGAACACCCACGGTGTCTCCTATTGTTACCAAAAATCCTTTAATAGACATCAAGATATTGTTAGTAGACTTAGAAGGGCAAGGCCTTTGCCTCTCAG